ATAAAAGCCTACATTAAAATCTGTCATATAAATAGGTCTTTTCATTAGAATAAGATTCTAATTAAGATGCTAATTAGATTAGTGATTGCCACCATTGATGGACAAATTTTTTTAATAATATTAAAAATATCTGTATGACATTATATTCTGCAGTTCTTCCCTGTTGTACCGAATAGGCCTATCTATACTTTTCAAATTATCATATCGAAGTTAGAAATTCAAATATTGTGACAAAATTAATTTTGTAGGGTGCCACAAGTTTGTTAAAATTTCCAAAGGGTGCCGCGACTAAAAAAAGGTTGGGAAACACTGTTATAGACTTTTCATTAAGAACCCTAAAGAATCATATCAACTTGTGGAAAATGGGCATCTGATGACCCCTTTAAGGGGATCCCCTCCTGCTCAGGCCCCCCATCTGGATTTCTTTCACTCCCTGAAAGAAAACAAAGAAAACACAAAAGGTTAAAAAGTTTATATTTATGTGCAAAGATAATCACATTTAAAAAATCAAAGTATTCTGGAAATGGAAATTAAATCGAAATTGAATATTTTGAAATGTAATTATTTAAATTAAAGCGGAAGTATGTGATTTCCAAATAAAGCCCAAATAAATTAGATCACCATGTTACTCACCATGGATTGTAACTTTGAATCTCTTGTATTTGGTCTCTCGGCTGCTGATGATCAATAGTTTATAAACTCCAGTGTGTTCAGTTGTGCTGTTTGTGATGGTCAGAGATCCAGTCTGATGATCCAGTTTCAGTTTGTTTCTGAATTTCCCTTCATTGCCATCATATGTACAGAAACATGCTTTATTTATTTCACTTCTAGCGATGAGACTGTCTTCGGGTCCAAACGTCCACAGCACCAGATCATCTTTTTGTATTTCAGTATCGTTGTGTAGCATGACTGAACCTCCCTCCATTCCTTCTCTTTAATTTTATCCCAGCACCACACAGAAGAGTAAAAACATGAATGGTATAACAAAATTAACTCCCGTCTGATTAATTAGAGGGCAAGATGATGGATTTTTGTTTTGCACATAAGAAATAACTGTATTGGAGCTGTACACATTTTAAGCATGACCTGCCTTTCGTCTTTTTCTGTTCAAAAGATTCCTGTGTACATTTATATCACCTCTTTACTGCAATAATTTTAAACAATACGTAAATCCACTTTTATGGTATAAATTTGATATGCAAAATGTGTATAGCACTAAATCATTAAAGCAGTCATAAATACGACTGAGTTACTCACCGTGGGCAATAACCCTGAATCTCTTGCATATGCTCTTTTTGCCGCTGGTGATTTGAAGTGTATAAATGTCTGAATGAGCTCTGCTGATGTTCCTGATGGTCAGATCTCCAGTTCGCTGGTTTAACTGCAGTCGGTCTCTGAATCTCCCATCAGGACCTTCATAGAATAAGGTCTGATTGGTGGCTCGGTTGAGTTCGGCGATTAAAATGTCTTTATCGCTAAACTTCCACAGTATCCTGCCATCATTCCTCAGCTCAGTAACACCAGTTTGTAGAGTGACAGAATCTCCAACTGTATATTTCAGATTATTCACTGCCAAAGCAAGAGAAACATGTAGAAGAAATGTGTGAATGTGAACATGAATATGGTAATCTATATTTTGATTATTTTGAGCTACTCACTCCAAACAAGAACATTGAATTTCTTGTACGAGACTTTATTGCTGCTCTTGATCTGCAGTTCGTAAACTCCAGAGTCTGTGCTTCTGGTGTTTGTGATGGTGAGATCTCCAGTTCGATCGTCCAGCTCCAGTCTGTCTCTGAATCCATCATCACCAACATCATAGACAGTGCTCTTATTGGTCTGTCCATCAATTTTGGCTATAAGGGCATTTTTAGGCTCAAAATTCCAAAGTATCTCATCATCTTTCTGAAGTTCAGTAACACCGGTCTGCAGACGGACATATTCTCCTTCTGTGAATTTCCGTGTGTCCTCTTCATTTCATAAAGAAACAGAAACACATAACACATGCTGACGTGAATGTGGAGGTGAACAATTCAAAACCCACTAAGGAGCCCAATGAAGGTCAAAAACAAATAAAGTAACATATTGACAGACAATACTGTAGGATATTTGAAGCGCTTGAGTTGTGCACCTCGTACGATAACTTTGAATCTCTTTGTTTTTGTCGCTTTACTGCCAGTGATCTGTATCTGATAATCTCCAGAGATTGGGATCCTGATGTCGCTGATGGTCAGATCTCCAGTCTGATGGTCCAGCTGTAGCTTGTCTCTGAATTGCTCAACATTGGGGTATGAAATGTTACTGGCATTTTTGTAGATTTCTGCAATAACCAATTCTTGAGGTCCAAACATCCAGACCACTTCATCGTCTCTCTGGATCTCGACTGCACCGGTTTTTAGTGTTATAGAATTTCCCTCCTTCACTGACACGGCCTTCTTTTCTGTCTCAACATCAAGTGAATGGGGAAGATATTAAATATTTCAAAAGATGTTTCATTGTTCAACTATTCAAAAATCTATTTTTTGGTGAATTAATAAACTACTGTAAATTGAGTCCCATTAGAAACAGTAGATCTGCTCCAAAACTTTCAATTTGAGTTATAAGCCATTTTGTTTGGAGTTTGATTCAGTTTACTGAACAGTGATCTGATTGGTTTTTAAGTCACTTTTTAAATGCATTTCTAGGGTGTTAGAGCTTCCTTTAATCTTTCTTCAGTAAGAACAAGAATAATTCCAAGACTGTTTATCACAGAAAAAGACGATTTTTTTCTGCTAAATTGTTGGCTCCTTAAACAATAATAGGCTTTGAATTAAACAATTTGTGGTTCAGTCTAGAAGAAAACATGGTAACTAATTACTCTTTTAAACAATTTTACTCCTATATTCGCTGTAGATAACACTCACCTTTCTGTTTTTTAGAGTATTTTAACATGTAGCACATCACACCCAAAGCTGCAGCCACTAACAGAAGTATACAAAGACAAATCAGCACAATATAACCAGCAGACAGACCCGGATCTGGAACAGCTGAAGAGAGACAGTCAAACACATGAAACATTTCATTATGAGGGAACATCTAAATTACACTCTTTTAATGCGATTTGACATGAACGTGTCATACCGACAAAAATATTGAATCTCTTGTATAGTGTTTCTTTACTGTTGGAGATCTGTAGCTGATAAACTCCAGCATCTGTGGTTCTGACGTCTCTGATGGTGAGATGAATTCGAAAAAACGAAAAAAATCATATTACCATATCTTAAATTACTGTTATGCTATTATGAATATTCACGGTAATTTTTTAATACTATATTTAAAATAAGATTATGAAAAGAGGCAGAAATATGTATAATAATAATAATGCTCTGCTTACCATAGACTTTAACAATAGGCTGCACGCCTGATAACGAAAACAGTGTGAAACTGAAAGTATGAAGAACCGAGCCTACTTACGGTCCAAAAATAATGTGAAGGAAAATAGCAATAATAGTTTCTTCATATTGCTGTGCTGTAGGATTCTCAAGCTCATAACCATGACTCGATCGATCAGTAGAGTTACCGTCGCAGCGGAGACGCGCGCGGTGACAACCGCCGTCATGGGTGGCACCCTTTAATGAAATGTAAGATATGCTGGTAATGACATCATAAAACAACCAATGTTGATTCATGAGTTTAAGTTGCGCACAAATGTTGTTTTACTCTTTAAATACATTAAAATATATTTTTTTCAATGACAGAGTGATATATATATTAATATCCTAAAATATGGTATCCAAACACTGTTCTTGCTTGTAGTTTCTGTCATTGTCTAGGCTACACATGAGGGCAGAGGATCAGTATCTATTTGCCATTGAATTCATATGTTCCCCAGACTCAGATATACTTGTTTACTTTAAGCATTAAGCATAAAATCAACATAAGACTTAGATATATCTATTAGGTATACCCTTTTATGATCAGTTAATTTATATTAATAAAAATGAACAAAACAAATAGGGCTTCAGTAGAAGTTTTACCCATTACTTGACTTTATAATAAACGTACCGGTCTGAATTCTACTCATATTTTGATCAATATGTTGTTATGAAATTATTTGTTGGACTAAGTTTGAAAGACACACATTTTAAATCCAATATTTCTACATTTGAAATTAAACGTAGACCAACACATAAAAAAAAAGAAGATATAAGCCAACTGAAGAGAGATTATTTGACAACAATAAGGGCTACTGTTTTCATGAGCAGTAACATAACGGTATGATTCATACACATAATCAGACAGTACTGAATCTACAGTTGCTCTACACAACTTCGCCACTAAACAAGGAACTGCACCTCTGTCATCTAGAATCAGGTTCAGAGTTCATTTCAAGAAAAGAAGATCTAAATGTTTTTTAGTTACAGTTTTAGTGTGGGCTGGGGCCGCGGCCTCGGAGGCTGCTCCGCCATGGCACCCCGAGTCTCCTGATCCGCCATGGCCTCCCGAGTCCCCTGATCCGCCACACGCATTCCGGAGGGGGGGCGTTATGTCAGACTCTGTTCAATGTTGTGTGTGTGTGCTGCTCCCTTTGACCCAGTTTCGTCGTCATGTTGACTATTAATTTGGTCCCAGGTGTTTCCCATGTTCATTGTTTCATTAGTTCCAGGTGTTCCTCGTCTTTCCCCTCATCAAGTCCTGTGTATTTATAGTGAGTCTAATTCCTAGTTTCTTTGTCTGCTGTTAAATCCCTGATGTTCCTGTGTTCGGTATCTCCTTGTTTCCTGAATAAACATCAAATTCTAAACATTCTTCAGCGCCTCCTCGTTCCTCGTCCCTCCCTTTTGAAGGGTTATTCGAGCACTCTATGACCTCTTAAAATGTTTCACACATTTGTGTTTTCCTGTTTGTGTTCATTATCTCTAACTGGTGAGTTCTAAAAGTTTTTTAGTTACAATTTTAGTAAACCAGCATTAGTTGTAACTGAAAATGTTCCGATGTTTGTTCCACAGGTGCGTTTGGTGTTGAGATCGATGAAACACAGACCATATCAGTGATGGAGGGAGATTCTGTCACTCTACACACGGATGTTACTGAACTACAGAGAGGTAATGTGCTACTGTGGACGTTTGGACCTCACAACACTCACATCGCTAAAATCAAGAGTCCACAATGAGACGTTTCACGATGGTGCTGATGAGAGAGTCAGAGACAGACTGAAGCTGCTGGACTCTCAGACTGGATCTCTGACCATCACAAACATCAGCACAGAACACTATGGACTTTATAAAGTAGAAATTGCCACTGAAAATAAGATCTCAAGCAAGGATTTCATTGTTAAAGTCCATGGTCAGCAGAGAATTATATGCATATTTCTGCCTCTTTTCATAATCTTATTTTAAATATAGTATTATAAAATTACCATGAATACATGTTATAACATAATAGTAGTTTAGGATATTATGAGGTAATATGGTGGTAAGTTGGGTCACTGCTTGGGCATTAAGACATAATTTTCTGTAAAGCTGCTTTGAATAATATGAAAAATAAATAAATAAATAAATACAAGATGAACACTTGTTTTCTTAAATATGATGCAATTAAAATGTTTCACACATTTGTGTTTTCCTGTTTGTGTTCATTATCTCTAACTGGTGAGTTCTAAAAGTTTTTTAGTTACAATTTTAGTAAACCAGCATTAGTTGTAACTGAAAATGTTCCGATGTTTGTTCCACAGGTGCGTTTGGTGTTGAGATCGATGAAACACACACCATATCAGGGAGATTATGTCACTCTACACACAGATGTTAATGAACTGCAGAGAGATAATGTGCTATTGAGGACGTTTGGACCTCAAAACATTCACATTGCCAAAATCAACAGAGTCCACAGTCATACGTTTCACAATGGTGCTGATGAGAGATTCAGAGACAGACTCAAGCTGGACTCTCAGACTGGATCTCTGACCATCACAAACATCAGTACACAACACTATGGACTTTATAAAGTAGAAATTGCCCCTGAAAATAAGGTCTCAAGCAAGGATTTCATTGTTAAAGTCTATGGTAAGCAGAGAATTATATGCATATTTCTGCCTCTTGTCATATTCTTATTTTAAATATAGTATTATAAAATTACCATGAATACATGTTATAACATAATAGTAATTTAGGATATGAGGTAATATGGGGGTAAGTTGGGCAACTGCTTGGGCATTAAGACATAATTTTCTATAAAGCTGCTTTGAATAATATGAAAAATAAATAAATAAATACAAGATTAACACTTGTTTTCTTAAATATGATGCAATGTTATATTTTAAAATATGGTGTGTTACTTCGAATATTTCCTCATCCTTGACATGCTATGTCAAAGTTTCCACTTGGTTTGTTACTGTGGCATAATCTACATGTACACTCCTAAATGTAATTTTAAAACAAAACCATTTGTGGTTGGTTGCTTTGCATGTTGGTCAGGCTTTTCACCATCTTTTAAAGGTGCAGTAGGACATCTTGGAAATGCTAACTTTAGCCTGATAGCACTGAAAGAGAACGTCCCACCCTCTCTGCAAATCGCCGTCCAAAACCACGCCTCCTGAACGCATGAACGCTCACAGACCAGACGACCAGAGACAGCATTACTACAATACATCATATAGAAAACTTTATAGTACAGTAGTAAAAGTACTACAATACCAGGAAGGAAGATCCATTCCTGCCATTCTGTCTGCACAGCGTACATGAACGCGTTGATGACGTATCCTGTCTGCGCAAACCGGGTGCGCAGAGGTTTGCAAATACATATGTTGACAGGATGAACATTTCTTGGTCCTACGCCTTCCACAGAATATATAAATACAGATAAATACATTTAGACCACTTAACTTAATGATTGCTATCAGGATGTGAAGAGACTTTCAACCAGCATAACAAAAAAAATTCTGAACACAATCACCTATTGCACCTTTAATTCTCAGCCCAGAATGAACAATTAAATTAAAAAGATTTTACTAGATTTAAACCACTATGTAAGAGAAATAAAATGCTTTTGATGAGGAAGTTGAGGAAACAAAAGTCATCACTTCTCTCATCAGGCAAATAGTGTTTCAAATAGCCTATGGGAACTACCCAATACTGTATCTCGTTTCTCCAAGAAAAATACTTACCCATTTACTCATATGTTTTTGTTGTGTTCTTCAGCTAATCT